TTCATCTGGTCTGGGGTGATAGGGAGAGTTCCATGAAGAAATCATGTTTGGGCTGTAATACGAAGGATAAAATGAATAAGAGATGTAGGAGGTGAGTATAGGCTGGGTGAGTACAATGATGTCGGCCTCTAGTGACTGATGTAGGGTCATCTAATGGCTCATCCTCACTATGCCAATCATGCAAACGAATCCAGAGAGACCATATGTGGGGCGAGAGAGGAATTCCACTCCACATACCATTTGCACCCTGTAGAAATATCAGCTTCCCTTCTCTGATCATTCCAGACCCCAGCTGCTGGCACTGACTCCCCTCCCCCACATGGGGCCATGTCAGTGGGTATGGGCTTCCTCCCTATTTCTTAGGTCTGATAACCCAGTGGGATCACTCACAAATTCCAGGGAAGGGGCTACACAAACACAAACATATGGTGAGATCCAGATGGGGCCTCAGTACAGATCTTCCATGTCTCCAGGTGCCAAACTTACTTCCCATCCCTCCCTCCCCCACCCACCCGGCATCCCCTGGGAGAGAGCAGACAGTCACTCTCACCACCGGAAGGCTCCACTGAGATACTGTCTTCACTCGGGCACTATAGAATACATCATGTCTCCTAGAATTCAGTTAGCATTGGACTTCCAGGAGACCCCTCTTGGTCTGGTCAGCTTCCCGCTCATCAGCCCCAAGTGTTGCCCGATTCTCAGGAACCAAAGGCCAAATTGTTTACTGCAAGGGGTTTACCACACCTCAAAGGGACTTAGGTCTCGTGTAGGAGAGGCAAAGTGAGGGGGCAGAAGGAGTAAAGGGTTAGAGATGAGACTGTACAGGGACAGAAAAATCAAAGCTTCTTTTCTTTTCTTTCTCTTTATACAACAAGCGGTGGAAGACCACGGAAAGGTTTGAAGAAGTTGCATGATAGGTTAGATTGATGCGTTTGAAAACAATAACTCTGTTGGTGAGTGGTGTGGACAACAGATGGTAGACAAGGGTGGGTTTGCTGTGGCAAAGCTGCCTGGGGCCTTATTTTCATGGCCCACCTCCCACCCCAAATCTCTGGGGTTATATGGATTCTGTATTGGTATTTTAACATTTCTCTTAAGGAAAGTCTCCTCCCAACACAATTGGACAGGCTGTACAAAGCCTGGGTCAGCACCCTTGATGCTAAGCAATCTACTTCCCGGCTAAACTTTCAAATCCTCAGTTTGGGATTGAGTCATGTCCCCTCAAGTTGGGTGTTGAAATCCTAACCCCTATATCTGTAGGTTGAATCTCATTTGGGAATAGGATTTTCTTTCTTACACAAATGAGGCCATATCAGTGTAGGATGGGTCTTAAGCCTAATCACTTTTGAGATACAAAAGGAGCCCAGAAGCACATAAAGACAAAAGGGGGAAACAGCAATATCAGTAGAGATCACCCAGGCACCCAGGAAGGGAAGCTGAAAGAGATAAAGAATCCCCCAGAGTGGACACACAGAGAGGGGTATCCCCTGGAACCGTTGCCCTGAATGTGGGACTTCTAGCTCCCAAACAAATTTCTGTTCATCACAGCCACCCACATAGTTTTTCTGTTAAAGCAGTGCAAAGAACCAAGGCGCTTACTAAGTCGGGGGGAAACCCTGTTGTTGAATTGATTTAGACTCTAGAACAGAGTACAACTACTCTCTCTGGTGGCTTAGTGAGTTGCACTTTGAGCTGCTAACCACAAGGTCAGTGGTTCAAACTCTCTAGTTGCTTCTCCGGAGAGAAATGCGGCTGTCAGCTCTTGTCAATATTTCAAGTCTTGGCAACCCAAAGGGGCAGTTCTCTGTCCTGCAGAGTCACTGTGAGTTGGAATCAATTGGATGGCAGTAGGTTTGAGTTTTTCGGCTTTGGAGTCTTTATGGAAGCAGACTGCCACATCCCCTCCCTGCCCAAGTGACCACTTACAGTAGAGGTTGGCAAATCTTTTCCGTAAAGAGCCCAAACCAAACCAAACCAACCAACCCAAACTCACTGAGTTGATCATGACTCATAGCAACCCTACTGAACAGAGTAGAACTGCCCTGTGGGTGTCTAAAGGTTAAACTTTTACAGGACTAGAAACCAGTCGGTGTGTTCCAACTGCTGACCTTGTGATTTCCCCACAGCTTTGCTGTTGCTTCTTGAAAACAGCAACAGACAATCTGTAAATGAGTGGATTTGGTTGCATTTTAATAAAGCTTTATTGACAAAAGCAGAGAGCAGATTGGATTTGACCAACAGGCCATAGTTTGCCAACCCCTGGATACGAAGTTGATAGAATCCTTGGGTGGCTGGACCACAGGTTTGCACATTGTAGATGTCTAGGACCAGATCTGCCGTTCCCATATGCTGCCTTGGTTATTTCTGCACCACAGCCCGAGGAGCCTGACACCTACCACCGAAGAACTTGGTGGCAGGCGACTCCACAACTAAAAGGCTCATCTGAATCGGGAATGTCATGCCCCTGTCAATAGACAGGTATTGGTTTTCTGGGTATTGAGAGAAGAGAAACTCTGAGCCTACACCTGAGTTTAGTATAAAAGGTAATGTGATTGATTACTTGTGTCTGGCATGGGCACCGGGCAAGAGAGAGGTGGTACACTGGCCAAGTATTCGTGATCTAGTAACGAGCTGATCCCCAAGGTTCCTTACAAAAAGTCTGAGGTCTATATGTGGATAAACATCCTGGAAATGAAAAAAAACCCTTAAGATTTAGTCACCAAACATGGAAGTGTGGCCATAATTTCACAAATTTTCACTTTATCTCTCTGTATGAAAAAGACAGGATGCGATTCCTGATTTTATGTTTGGAAGCAGCTGGCTACCAGGACAGAGAATCCAAATTCACAGCTCTTTACACATCAGATCCAGAGTTTAAAGATATAGAAAAAACCAGCACATTTCCCAAGTCTTACAGCCATTTATTAAGCACCCGTTAAATTGATACAAAGATCCATTCCCTGGTCTCCAGGCATTTCCATCTTCAGTATGCTCTCGGTAGGACAGCAGCATCCATTAGAAAGAGTATTAGGAGTGGTTTAGGGGAGGAAGTAGGGGTGTCGAGTGAAGGAGAAGGGTCATTCCAGTTGGGGAAATGATGACAACAACGCTTTGGAGAAGCAATGAGTACAGACAATGACCTTGTTGGAAGAGTGAGCTCATGGTGAGGGAGACTGGAAATGAGTTTAACTGATTGTTGATAGAGGATGAAATTGTAAGGGTATGAGAAAAGAGGATGTGGGGTCTGATCCTGGTTTCTAAACAACAGGGTGTCGTTTTGTCTCAACTGTTCTAGTGAAATCATTTTTGTGGATGGAACACAGGGCAGACCAGAAGAGGGAGATGGATGACAGAAGGTCAAGGAAGGAAGCTGTTGCAAAGATGCAGACACAAGACAGACTTGAACCCAGAGAGTAAGGACTAAGGGGAGAGAAGACAAGTGTAAGAGACATTTCAAAGGTACCAGAGCTGAGCGTGGTAGCTGGTGGCATATAAAGGATGCAACAAAAGAGGAGTCAGAGATAACCACAGAATTCCAAACTTGGAGTCTGAGTTTGGGGGTGCCTGGGGAAGCTTGGACTTAGACATAATGGGGAGGAACAGACAGCTCTTAAGCCATGCGTTTCAATGACGACAGATACATTTTACAGGCTATTTGAGAAAGAAAGGTCCAGGATAGAAGAGAGACAGGGACCATAGACTTGGGAGACATTTCATTGAACCCAACTTCTAGCCCAGTGCCATCATTCTGTGGAAGTAATCTTGACGGGCTATTGAGAGCTTCTGGAAGTCTTCTAGAGGGCTACTGCTTCCAAGGGAAACCAAACCAAACTCACTGCCGTACAGTCAATACTGACTCATAGAGATCCCCTCCCTGTGGGTTTCCGAGACTGTAACTGCTGATGGGAGTAGAAAGCCCAGTCTTTCTCTCGAGGAGCTGCTGGTGGTTTTGAACTGCAGGTGGATCATAGCCCGATCCATAACCACTAAGAGAGGGAGACCTTTTAGTAGCCCATGGTGTCAGTCAGATGTTTTTTTGTTGTATTAAGATTTAGCAAGTAGTGTAAAGGAGGCTGAAGTCTACCACTGAAGTACTGTGTGGCTTTTGACAAATCACCTAACCCACTGGAGCATTTATTTCATTGCCATTAAAATAACAAAATGACAAAACAGGTGATATTTCATAGTTCACAAAAACAAAACCAATAATCCTGGGTATCAAGGGGGTGGGGCATGGCAATGCTCCCTGATTCACAAAGTGGTGGAAAAGTGGACTTGGAAGAATGAACGGATACATGAATTTTCTTCTAGAAAGGGCAGTGTCCATGGCCCTGTGTGTGTGGGGCAAGGGAGGTGCATTAGGAAGGAAAGAGACTCAGAAAAAGAGGAGTCTGTTCTTGCTGATGGAGAGAGAGGCAATGCGCTAGGAGGAGAATGATATCAATGTGCCATCTTGCAAGCCAAGGCCTTGAAGAGAGAATGATTCTTGCCTTATGGAAACTCCAGGGGTTGGGAGAGAATCATTGGGAGACAGGAGGGGGTGGGGCTCAGGACGCGATTATCATTCCAGGCAAGACTGAGGCACCAGAGGAGTTTTGATTGGAGTAGGGGTAATGAATGGGCATTGGTTTGCCAGCAGAAAACCTTGAGCTCCCGACAGTTGCGTTTGTAAGGCTGTGACTCATGAGAGAAAGAAGGGTTTCAGGCAAATAAAGGAGCAGGAAGTGGGATGAGAGAATCTTAGGTTGTGTTAATAGAGGTAGAAGGACCAACCTGGGGGAGAGTATGCTCATGTTACTATGTGTGCTTTGGGCTCGGTTGCTCGGCTTGCTCTAAGGAGGACAGAATGAGGTTGACCGAGGAGGACCAGCATGGGGAGTGTGATAGTAAGAGAGACTGGGTACTTTGGGAAGAGAAAGGTGTGTGGGAATAGTGGAAACTACCTTTAACCATCTGTGGGACAGAAAGTGTACAAGAAGGAGAACCCGCCTGGGCCCTTTCTACTTCTGCAGGTAGAGCCGTTTCCGAAGGGTGCTTAGGATTTCAGGATTCACTTTCCTCGCTTTCCCTTCTTGAATCAGCTCTCCCTCTGCCATTCGCCTGGTCACCTGCAACAACAAGGGTCGTCACCTTCGGGTTGGGCCTTTTGGGGGAGGTGGGACAATCGGTTTACGGGAAGAAAGCAAGAGAACAAGGCAGGTGGATACCCATGTCCCAAGATGAGAGACCCTTTACTGCCTCTTTCTATATCATTATATTCAATATTGAAGACCAGGTAAGCAAGATAAGGAGAAGCTTATTTCATTGGGTGAAGTCCATGTGAAACATTTCATGACAAATCAATAAGTAAGCATGGGTAACATCATGTTCCTTGCTTATTGGGTGGGTAATTTGCTCCTGATCATACCTATAAAATCATTGGTTGTACATTTGTGTTACACAGATTTTTCTTTCTCTCTTTCCTCTTACAGAAGGTTCACGGGGAGGAGACGAGCCAGTCAGGGTGCAGTATTGCACCAATGAAACATTCAACTTTCCTCTAGTTCTTTAGTGCTCCTCCCCACTTTCCCTCCCCCACTATCATGACCCCAATTCTACCTTACAAATCGGGCTAGGCCAGAGCTTGTACACAAGTACAGATAAGAGCTGGAAACACAGAGAATCCAGGACAGATAAACCCCTCAGTACCAATATAGAGAGTAGCGATACCGTGAGGGTAAGGGGAAGGTATGGGGAGAAAGAGGGAACCAATCACAATGATCTGCATATAACCCCCTCCCAGGGAGATAGACAACAGAAAAATGGGTAAAAGGAGACATTGGTCAGTGGAAGACCTGAAAAAAAAATCATAAATTATCAAGGGTTCATGAGGAAGGGAGGGGAAAACTGAGAAGCTGATACCTAGGGCTCAAGTAGAAAGAAAATGTTTGAAAATGATGGCAACAAATGTACAAATGTGCTTTACACAATGGATGGCTGTATGGATTGTGATAAAAGCTGTAAGAGCCCCCTGTAAAGTGTTTAAAAAATCATTTTATTGGGGGCTTTACAGCTCTTATCACAATCCTTCCATACATCCATTTACACAGATTTTTCTAAACCATAATAAAACTTTCAGAAAAAAGTTGTCTGCACATCGGTTAAATCCAAAGGTGAGTATTTGTAGGTAGTTATTCACAGAAGTGGGTCTGTATCTCACATACTGAAGACTTTGGCCATTCTGGCACTCTCAAAAAAAGAAAACAAACAAACAACAACAAAACAAACCTCACTGTTACTGAGTCAATGCCAACTCACAGTGACCTATAGGACAGGGTAGACCTGCCCCTGAGGGTATAACTCTCCATGGGAGTAGAAAGTCCCATCTTATTGCTGGTTGAGAGGCATCCTAGTGGATGGGGGCTGGAGGCATGGGAGGAGAACACGGAGAAAGGTTTGGAAAAATATTCAATCGCTCCCACTTTCTCCTTGTTAGATTGGACAGCACCTTTCTCCTTGTTAGATTTGATTGCTTCTTTTCAACTCACCTCTGTCAGAAGCTCCAAGATGGGTCCTCTTCTCTTAGTAAACACATCCACCAGGGTCTGGATGAAGAAGGAGCCGTTCTTGTCATGTCTATAGGAAATGTACCCTAGAAATTCCAAAAGACCACGAGGAGGTGAGATCAGGGAAACTCCAGCATTGTGGAAGGGGAAGGTGTACATCAGTAAACCTTTGGCTAGATAGGTGGATGATGAATAGAGTTGGTAGATAGATGGATGAACAGGGGGTTGAATGGATAAGTAGATGGGGGGTTGGGTGGCCTTGGGAGGAGTGACACCTGAAGATATCTTAGAGGAGAGGATCAGGGCGAGGTTTTTTGGGTGCAGGGAAGAGGAGTGGAGGCTAGGCTACAGTTGGTGCCTGGGCTAGCCAGTAGCTCGTACCCTCTACAGTGGAGTAGACATGCAGGGCATCTGTGTAGGTTGGGATGGTTTGGTGGCCATCTTCTACAATCATCTTGATTCCTCCATCTACTGCTTCTCCAGCATCCCTTTGTTCTAAAACATCAAGAAGAGGAGCAATCACAGTTTAAAAAGAGATAGACGAGGAGACAAAGCCACAGGGCAATCTAGTAGTTCAAGGAAAGGTGCATAAGGCTTAGCTGGTAGGTAGGTGGGGCCTGGGGCCTAGGATTTGGGTTCATTATCCATGAGAAAGAGAAAGAATCTCAACAAGATGGATGGACACAGTGGCTACAACAGTGGGCTAAATCGTAACAATTGTGAGCATGGCACAGGGCTGGGCAGTGGTTCATTCTGTTGTACATAGCGTTGCGATGAGTTGAGCCCTACTTGATAGCACCTGACAACAACAACATAGATCATTTGGGGCTCTATGCTCTGGGTTCTAGGTTCTTGTCTTTGTCCCCACCTCCTCGGCAGGCCTGCACGATGTACACTTTGGGTTTGGCTCTCAGGGCCTGGCAGTTCTTGTTGTTCAGGACCTCAAAGAGGTCATTCAGTTTGATCATCTGGCCATCCTCCCCCTTGAGGACGCCTTCTAACCCATGCGCCATGAGCACCACAAAGCCGCAGCTGACGGGATCAGTCCGGGCATCCATGTCCTGCTGAAATTTGTCCAGCTCCTCTTGGAATTGCTGGAGGGAGAGGAATAGCCAGACTCAGCAGGGCCCCAAAGCCTTCCCTTTGACCCAGGCCCTTGCCTCCCTGAGATGGAGCTGGTGGCACAATACCTGGGCAGTGGGATCTCTCTTTATGGTACTCTCAAATCCCAGCTGCTGGAACATCCGTTCCAGGGCATCCAGGTCAGCCTCACAACCTTCCCGGGCTTTGGTGACACACAGAGTCAGGGCCAGGCGGGCACCTGACATATCATAAGCCGCCTGAGGCAAGAGAAAACAGAACCCAGCAAAGAGAGAAAGGTGAGGCAGAAGTAGGGGATGTGATCCAAAGTGACCCAAGGTTAGGGTGCTAGATAACAATACTGAATATCAGCTAAGCTTGAATTTAAGAAAAGCTATGCTTGGGTAACCGATTGCTAGAAAAGGACATTGTGGCAGGTAAATTCGTCAGTGAAGGAAACTTTCCTTCCATGAAGTGGATTTGACACAATAATGTCAAAACTGGACTCAAACATACCAACAATCGTAAAGATGGCACAGAACCAGGAAACTGACAATAACAATGGTTGAGTATAACTACGACTCAATGATGGCTGGGTGGTATAAACAATTAAGTGCTAGGCTGCTCATAAAAGGTTGGAGGTTTTAGCCCACTCAGACATGCCTTGGAAGAAAGGCCTGGTGATCTACTTGAGGGGAAAAAAAAAATCAACCACTGAAAACGATGGAGCACAGATCTATTCTGATATCTGGGTGTACCATAAATGGGAATCAACTCAGTGGTAACTGGTATGGCAACTGGCTATTGAGTATAAGTATGTCCCAATATGGCATGCGATGTGGACTACCCAATTATTTATTATTTGTCCGACGTTCAAATTTAGAGGGGCAATCTGCATTTTTATTGGCCACATCTGGTAACCTTTACCTGGGCTCTGTAGCAGCCTTGTGGGGATGAGAACAAGTCATTGCTCCTCTCTGAGGTGCAGTTCCCAATGCAGACATCGAATGTGGGGGGGGGAGGTTTGAAGGTCTCTCCCAGTTGTCGCAGCGGGTGACTGAAGCCTCTGGCCTCATTCTCTCCAAGAACGTTCTGAACATTCCTCCAATGCTTCCTCAGAATTTCAGAAGTGAATACTAAGGTCCTTATCTCATCCTAGCTGAGGAAGGAGGATAGTGGGATGGCATTTTCTCTTCAAAAGAGCACCAGGGCCCTGAATAAGCAGTGCTAATTGTTCAACCATTGAAAGAGGATGCGTCCACTTTCCCTTGACTACCCACACCTTTACCATTCAGGGCTACCAAGTACCTTCCGGCTCAGCATTCAGGTCCCAAGTTTTCCCTCTCCAATCTTTGCCCCAATACTAAACTCTTCTCTCTCACCTCTCCATGCCCCCAACCCCGCAACCTGCACCCAGCCCACCTGCTCCAAAGGCTGAGGATCACTCATTTTCTTCTTTGACTTGGAGTGTATTCCTCAGCACCTTTGCCTGGAACCTGGAGATCAAGAAAAGAGACGAGGGTTTCCAAGGGCATTCAGAAAGGGCTCAGGGGACAAAGCAGGTGGGTAATCTGAGTCTGTGAGACTGAAGCGGAGCCCAGCAGCTGGACCTGATACATGTTAGAGTCAGACTTGGGCAGGAGATGTTACTCTATGAAGTGTCTCCTCTCGTGACACTCCGGTGGTTCCTTCCATCCCTGGATGTCCCCAGAACTCCGTGACCCTTTTCACAAAGGTATCCTTCTAGATGCTTTCTGCATGCTTCCCTTGGGACCCTAACCAGCCTCGGATGGGATCGTCTCTCCACTGAAGGCTGTGAGTTGATGGAAAGATCAAGTGGCTGCCTAGACATAAATCCCGAAGGAGCTGCTTTTGTGTTGGGTCTAAAATGAACATGTCATAAATGTAGGGGAGGACTACTTTGAGATTGTCTCTGTGGGTGTCTAGCCAGAGCATATAGCTAAGCTCTCCACTCCCATCGATTCCTTGGCCAAGTGAAATGATTTTGGCCACAAACTTGGCATTTTCTCATCCCCCTGCCTTTTAAAAACACGTCTTCCTCAGCTTGACATGCCCTTAAGGTCCTTCTTCACCAATCAAGATTCTGTTCACCTACTCATATACCTACCTACCCACCCATCCATCCAGGAGCCTTGGTGGTGCAAATGGTTAAAACCGAGAAGCGAGTGGTTTGAGCGCACACAACAGTCTGTTGATACTGTTCCCAGAAAGATTACAGTCAAGAAAGCTCTGGGGTGCAGTTTAACCTTGTCACATGGGATGGCTATGGATGAAAATGTACTTAATGGCACCTCACAATAACATCTGTCTACTTTTTCACCTGGCCAGACATCCATCCATCTGTGTACTCCACCAACTACCCGTTCCACCCTCCATTGAACTTATACAGACAACTACGTGTTCATTTGTCAATTATTTCTTTGGTGTCTTTAGTTCTTACGTCTATGACAGACATGCATTAAGCTCTCCAACAGCAGTGGGGGAGAGAAAAAAAGAAGGAGAAGAAGAAGGAGAAGGAGGTGGAGGAGGAAAAGGAGGAGAAAAAAAATGAAAATATAGAGCAGAGGTGAGGAGAGGAAAGAAAGGAGAGAGAAGAGAGAGGAACTAGTGGAGGGAGAAGATGAACCAAATGCTATTCAAAGAGAAAGAGCCTGGGCTGGGCTGAGGAGCCAGACAGACCAGAATCAAGTTCTGCCGCCGCCCTTTTCCAGCTGTGTGACCTTGAACATCTCTGAATCTTAGTTTTCTCATCTGAAAAGCACCCTGATTTCTTTACCTCTACTTCCACCAGGGCCACCAGCAAGGGGACGGGCACAGAGATGGCACGGATGTAAATTCATTGTGTGAAAAAAGAAACAAATGAACATAAGGATGGATGGGTGGGAGGATCGATGGATGAGTTAATAGATGGAAGGGAATTTCTTTAGTTCTGGCACAAACGGGTTATGGCATTTATTACTAAAAGGAGGAGGTGGCGGGGTGGGGGGGTGAAGTGGAGAGAGGGAGAGTGAGCAAGCAAGGGAGTATCTGCCAAAGTACTTACCGACTCTAGATGTAGCTGCTTCTAAAGCCAGGGCAAGTCTTACTTCTCTCCTCTCCACCAGTCAAAGGCTGGGCTCCTAGAAGTGTTCAGGCCAGTGCTGACCTGGGAGAATGGGCTGATAGCACAGGATTTTCCCAGGCCCCTGCTGAGTGGCTGGTTTATGAGTTGGGCAGTACAGCCGCCTGCCCCTTTATTGCCAGAGAGCTTTCTGTCACTCCAGCAACCTCATGATACAAATGACACACCCTTGGCACAGTCTTTAGTGAGTAAATGGAGCCAAACACCTATAGGATGAGTGAAGGCAAGGTGCAGCCGACACCCCTGGCTAAGGTGGTAAAGGTGGAGTGAACTGGTGGTTTTGAACTGCCGACCTTTTGGCTTGTAGCCGAGCACTCAACCGCAGAGCTGCCAGGGTTCTTGTATTAAAAACAGAGCATCCAATTTATCCAGAGTTTGTATCCCAGCTCAAACACAAGGGCCCCCTATGCCCCATCTCTTGATATCAACAGTCCATCATCACCATAACATTACATTCATGCCTACTCATTCCACTTTCAGCTATGCAGGTATTACCAATTTCATTATCACATCATTGAATCGTGGGAGACCAGTATTGTTGCTCCTATTCTGCATGTGGGCAAACAGGCTCAGAGAGGTGATCCAGGGTCAACCAACCAGTAAGTGGCACAGTCAGAATCCCAATCCAAGAGGATCCAGCCCCAGAGCCTGAGTACTTTACCGTGCCTACACTGTTGACTTCACACCCGCCTCTGCCTCTTTTATCTCTTCCTATGATCGGCCTCCTCTAGTTTTTCTATTTATTATTTAAAATTTCCGATTGATAGCTTTCATGCAATAAAACACACATAACGTACAACTCACCCAGTAGCTGTTTTTTTTTCTCGTAGATTCAAAGGTTTTTAGTATATTCACTTCTATGTGTACCTACCACCACCATTCATTTTAGAATATTCTCATCACCTCAAAAAGAAAATCTATTCATCCATCTACCTATTCATCCATCCATATATTTATCCTTTCTCTTTTCCATCCATGAACCAGCCCATCTTCCCATCCCCTTCTTCCCATCCCAGGTCTGGTCAACCACTGAGAGACTCGTTCTGGACATTTCACATAAATAAAGTCATACAACCTGTGGCCTTTTGTGTTTAACGCTTTTCTTTTAGCCCATTATTTTGAGGTTCATTCATATTTTGATGTGTATCAGCATTTTATGGCCAAATCATATTCTACTGTATAGATTTGCTAGATTTTAAAAATTCATTCAGCAGTTGATGTTCACTTGAGTCTTGTTGGCCTTGTGGCTATTCTGAATATTTACTGCTGTAAATATTGTGGACAAGGTTTTATGAGGGCCTCTGTTCTTACGTTTCTTGAAGAGAAAGCTAAAAAACAAACAAAGTAAACTGATTGTTTTTGAGTCAGCAAAGATCAATGTGTTACAGAATAGAAATACTCCAGTAGCGCTTTTTTGGGTGGTGACCTTCACAGGAGTGAATCACCAAGACTTTCTTCCGCCATGCTACTGGGTGGGTTCAAACAGTCAACATTTAGGCTAGCAGTCTAGTGCAAGCCATTTGTACCACGGAGAGACCTTGTTATACACATTTGTAGTTGTGCGACTTTGAGTTGATTCTGATTCATAACAGCACTATAGGACAGAGTAGAATTATCCCATAGGGTTTACTAAGCCCTAGTCTTAATGGATTAAAATGAGAATAATTATCTGCAAATAATCATTAATAATTGGAATGTATGAAGTATGAATCTAGAAAAATTGAAATCATCAAAAATTAAATTGAATGCATAAAGAGCCATATCCTAGGCACTTGTGTCTGAAATGGACTGGTATTGGCCATTTTGAGTCAGAAAATCATATGGTCTATTAGGGCATGAGTGAAAAGTTGAAGATAAAATCTTTCAAGATATATCCTGAAGTACCACACTGTCAGTAATAAGATAATATCCATATGTCTATGAAGAAGATCAGTTAATATGATCATGAGTTGAATTTATGCACCAATCACTCATGCCAAAGACGAAGAAATTAAAAATATTTACCAATTTCTGAAGTCTGAAACTAATAAAACATACAATCAAGATGCATTGATAATTTTTGGTGATTGGAATACAAAAGTTGGAAACAAAGCAGAATCATTCGTAACTGGAAAATAAGACCTTGGCAAAAGAAATGAAATGGATACTCACACGATAGAATTTTGCAAGACCAAAGACTTATTCATTTCAAATACCTTTTTGCCTACAACATCAATAGTAACTGCACAGGTGGACCTCACCAGATGGAATACACAAGAGTCACATTGACTATATCTGTGGAAAAAGGTGATAGAGAAGTTCATTCATCAGTTAGCAAAAGGCCAGGGTCAACGGTGGAACAGACCATCAACTGCTCATATGAAGGTTGAGGATGAAGCTGGCAAATGTAAAACAAGTTCACAAGAGTTTAAATACAACCTTAAATATGTCCTACCTGAATTTAGAGATCATCTCAAGAGTAGATTTGACTCATTGTACACTAATGTCCAAAGACCAGAGGTGTTGTGGGACGATATCAAAGATATTATCCATCTACAAAGAAACAAAATGTCATTAAAAAGACAGGAAAGAAAGAAATGACCGAAATGGCGTCAGGTAAGATTCTGAAACTTGCTCTTGAACCATCTGTTTGTTGCACATAAGAGTTGAAGCCAACTCTCCATCAATGACAACAACAACAACAGCAACAACAATCTTAGCAGAAGGACAGTAGCAGCTCTTTCTGCCATTGCACCACTGGGGGGTTCAAGCTTTTAGATTAGTAGCTGATTACAAACCACTTGTGCACCCAGGGACCTTTGCTGAATCATAAGGGCTGTATATGTTCAGCGGTAGTAGTTATTGCCAAATCCTTCTCCAAAGTGGCAAACCACTTTAGCCTTTCCACTCACAGGGTGTGAGAGCTCCAAAGATACACCAACACTTGACACTTTTCATCTTAGCCATTCCAGTGGGTGTGCAACCCCATTGGTTTTACAAGCTACACAAAATTCTATAGAATGGATGTGAAGTAATTTATTAGTCATCCCCCGTTGATGGCCACTTCAGGTGTTTCCAGTTTTTCACCATGATAAGCATCATTGCCACGAGCATCCTTCTACGTGCTTCTTCAAGCCCATGCTTGAGTCTTTTCTGTAGAGAGAGGTTTTCCTAGAAATGGAGTTACCAGACCAAAGGGCACACACCTCCCAAACCTTGACAAATTCAAATGACCAACTTGGAAATCCATGTATAATTCATAGCTGACCCTTGGACAGTGTGGACTTGAACTTCAGGAGCACTGAGATGATTAGTATTCCATGGTCCT